CGACAACTGTTGATTCATCGGTACTCTATTTTTACAAGCAAAAAAAAAGAAATAAGTGTATCATTATTATTGAATATAAAATAAAATTACAAGATATAGATTTTGTAGTTGCTACGCTAAATTCAAATTATTATACTTTTACAATAGATAACGACATGAAGAATAATGTTAAGCAGAAAAATATTTAAAAGCAGAGATTAGAAATTGTTAGAAAATCAACTACTTCTTCAGGACAAATGAATAGTAATAGTGATGATAATAATGAAAACTGTCATTATCTGTCATGAAAACAAGATGAATTAACTCGATATCTTAGATTTGAGAATCATAAAACAAACACAAAGAATGTGCTTGACTTTTAAGAAGATGTTGACCGATTTTTTATCATCTTTGACAATAATTGCATCCGAAATTTTAACTGTACTAACAATATCAGCAAGCGTTTAACGTATACTGAGTATGAGTAGTCAAATCGATTCCAAACGCCAATCAAACATTTCACTAGACTGGTAAATGACGTTCTTTTTCTAGGTTCAACCAAGAAAACAAAATGAAATAAAACATTGTACTGGGTAAAATACAGATCAGTAAAATTGAATAACAAGTATTTTATTTTGAAATTGAGAAATTCGTAATAATTTATCAATACTATCGTTCTCTAAGTTCGGGTCATGTTGGGTCATGAAAAACACTACTTGATCTCAGGTCGGATTGGATGACGAAAACTTGGCCTATATCAGATACTGACCATAGTAAATTATTTACAATAATCCAAATCTATTAATGTAGCATCTGTGTTATTTTTCATCGCTCATAGTTAAAAATTTATGGTAGCATTGCTTCTTTTTTTGGGGAGGGAAATAAATTTTTTCTAGGACCAGTACAAAACTACGCTGTTTCTCCTTACATTTCACTGTTGGATTGTTTATTTGTCATTAGTTAGATTCAGTTGATTTTCAATGTTCATAAGTTCTACATCTACTAGTATACTATTTTTTGTGCAATCATCAATCTTGATCGTGTCAATTGCAGTTATTATCTTCATGAGTTTGAACACACTTGTGTACATTCGACAAATTTGAGTAGCGTGGTATCTCTCATTTTTATTAATTATCATCAAATGCAACTACAATATCTTGCATATCACTCTATTGATATTTGTTCTCTTTTATTTTAAAGACTTTGATGGTCGAGCTTCTTCTTTTTGATTCACCTATTATTGACAATATATTACAATCGATTCAATTTTTTTCTAAACTATGGTGAACTTTTATTGATTAAAATGAGAATAGAGAATTTTTCAAGAACAAGAAGAATAAAATAAAGAGAAGCAGAAAAATGAATTTTAAAAATTGTTCAATGCTTTAATTTGGTCAATGATAAATCGATTCAATGTCGGTCAAATTCAGTTAATATAGCCTCTTGGCCCATGAACTCCACAAGTTGGTTTATATTTTGGACAGTCCCATTTCCAGCATGGTCTGGTTGGATAGACAACAAATACGTAAGCATATTTGCAATTTGGAGCGCTCCAGAAACCTATGTAGGGTCTACATTTTCTGTTAGCCCATGCCACAAAAAAAACTGTTATGACATTGCAAAAATTCTTGAAATTTGCACCAAAATGTCAAATATGCTTTTTTCGTCGGACCATACCAATCAAGTTTATCAACTACTTTGTAGCAGTTGCCTGGGCGGCCAACTATTTGCACCACTACAAGAGCAGAACATGAACCATCGTGGAGTGATTGATGATGTTCGGGAGTCAGGTCCAGATTGTAATCTTCAATGTCATCATCGTCACAAGCAACTTGAAGAAACAGTATAGCAGCAACGAAGCATGAAATCGTTAATAGACGATACATGATATGTTAGAATATAGAAATTATTTATATTAATAGAACGATGATGTTTAAACTAAACTTACTGTGTTGTTGAGAAATGCCTGCATATTACTTGTGTATTTATACCAATGATTACAATTGTATATGAAGACTCAATCAAGCATGATATAACTACGTAAACATGATATTTTATTGGATAAATCATAATTAATGGGTTTTAGCTTATCTTAAATTAAGAGAGAGAGGGGGCGAGAGTAAAAACAAAAAATAAACTACGCCTTAGTTGACTAATCAAACAAAGTTTTTGATATTATAAAAAAAAATGATTGTTGTTGTAAACATTGTTGCTACTCTATGTTCATTTATGCTAAGATGCATTCTTGTGTAGAAAAATATCTGCTATCATTTTCAATGCATACAACTCCATTATTAATGCAATGTTCTAGCGTACATACTTGATATAGTTTGAGAACAAGATCCTGAAAACAGAAATTTCTTTCCCATTCTAATGATTTCTTTATTCCAGAGTGATATTAGCTTGTAAAACACATGTTCATTGTGACACATATTAATGAAATAATGGAGGAATGTGTCTAATAATAAAATACAATTCTTTTTTATATTTCATCCTATTGAGCAATGACGTGAGATTAGTATGCATTTTATTTTGTTTTCGATACATAATTATTCTTATTAGTGGGGAAAAGCTATGCATTGCTTTTAATGATGTATTACGATAGAGAAACTTATTTAGAATAACTTGTCATGATTTATTCAATACAGACGATGATCTTATATAGGTCGAATAGCTTTTTCAGAACGCGAAGATTCTCCATTTGTTTTCGAGTATTTTTAAAATAAATTTAGAAATTTTTAATATTATTGAGTAGAGAAATATTTGCTGAATTTGAATGATGTCAAAATCATCTAATTATCGTGAAAATTAACTGAATAAATAGCGGTAGTTTGTGACTGGCTAAATTTATTCTGATGAGGATGGGGAGCACTGATTCTAATAAGACCAATAAGCAGAAAACAAAATTTTTCTTGATGAATGAGTTGTTAAATTCCAGCTGTTTAAGACAAATAGAGTTTTTATTTTTTAATTTTTATTAGTGACATCAATTTAAAATTATGACATTATTAGTAAATGATAAACTGTAATAACTCGAGCATAATTTTGTATCAATCAACAATATAGAGACTTATGTTGTACTAATATCCGCTTTGTTTTTTTTTAAATTGTGCTCCTCCTATTATAAAAATAATTCACAGAAAATTCTAATAAACTATCAGAAACAATCGTAGTTTCGACAGAATATTAATGAAAGATGATAATTTTAACTAAGAATCAAACAAAATTGGATTCTATTAATTAAAATAATATCTTTCTAGTTTGTTATTGCGATGCAATATAATATTTCTTTTTATAAATTTACTTTCATAATTTCTTTTCGAAACTTGATTAAACTATTCAGTTCTGTAATCTCTACAAAATCATCCATTGATTCTTTTCTCAAATTTTTTTTTCTTGTTGATACTAACAGCGATGTAACCAGGATTTTTAGACCAATGGGCAAACTTCTCTTGTATCAAAAAAAAATGATGGACAAAATGGACAAGGTTTTTATTGATATGCCAAAAGGTTTTTGGCCCAGCAAAGTACTGATAACGTAAAACAAAACATTAAAAAAAAATGAAATGAGGTTCTTTTAATCAAATATACATGAAACTGAGATCTTAAGCCTGAGTCAGGTGTGTTTTAGTAAATTTTTAATGTCTCTGTTTATAACATTTATATTGCAAATTCAAACACCAAAATCAAGACGACAATGATGCATTTCTGTATATAATTTCAATATTCCTATATGGATTTATATCTGAATGTTTATGAATGTATGCAGTAACAAGTCCATTTAGCCTATTTTGTTTCATTGTAGATCGACAACAACTTTTAATTCTCGATAATTGACTGAAACTTCTTTCAACAAAAGCTGTTGATACAGGTAATGTTTCCAAGAAAATTAATAAATACAAAACATTTAGTATATTACATTGTCTGCCTCTTTAATTAGTTCATTTAACCATTTATTTGTTCTCTAGTCATCATCCATTTGAAGCAAATCATTATATTTTGTTTGCTATTTTTATAATTCAGAATTTAATTATAATGTTGATGGTAAATGATCAGCGACTTGTTTCGATAAATGTTTTGTTAACTCAAATAGTGTTTCATTTATAATTTCTTTCGGTCACAATTTACTTAATAAAATAACTCGCTTACTTTTTAAGCTAGATAATCAACTTTTAATATTATTAATTAGTTCGTCTAAGAATGATCAATAAACATGATCACAATAAAATTGTTCTGGATTACAAATTGATATATTTTTTATTCGCAAAGTTAATATTGAATGAGGTGGAATATATAGTATGACAAATAGTTCTTTACATAATTCGTCAACATGGCTATAAACAACATTATGAAAATAATGTTGAGTCTGATGTTTTCATTGTTCAAATGTATCTAATGAATTATCATCATATCGATTAGCTGATAAAAAAATCCAATGCTTTTGTTTGTAGTAAACGACTAATGGGAACAATATCTGATAATAAAAAACATGAAATACAAGTTGAAATTATATGTTGAAAATTGATTATGATATGATACAATTGTTCAACTGTTGAATCTTTCAATATTTCATATCTAAATTTCTCTAATGTATTAACAATTAGAATATATAATTCTAAAAATGTTTCAATTGACGTATTTCTATCAATCAATCGAGTATCACATAAACTCAACAGACGTTTTTTTATTTGTTAAATAAATATATTCTTCTTGATAGTCCGTATTTTCAGGCCAAAGAGCAAGCATTCGTTTTGGTGAATCTTTAAAAAAATTAATTATTTTCTTGATTGTTTCCATCATGTTACGAATTTGTGAAATACTACAGCTATCAACCAGTACTAAAATAAGATAATGATTAGAACAATGATAATATTCTGTATCTGGACAGTTCTGTTTAATTAATGCCTAACAACCTTGATAGATACCGACCATATTTGAGCCCCCATCATATGCTTGACCTAGACTATTATCAAACGGTAAATTATACGTTGTTAAATAATCAAGAATAATATTAGCTATTGTTTCACCCATACACGAAATAGTTTCTATGAATGTTAAAAAATCTTCTCTTATATCGTTTGTTTTTTTATCATAATATCGTAATGAAGGACTTAATTATTCGGCTTTTGATATGTCTGCTGTTTCATCAACAATGATAGAAAACAAACAATTTTCTACTCGATGCAAAATTTCGTTGGAAATATATTTGTGTATACAGTCAATAATTTCATTCTGAACTAACAGACTTGTATACAATGCATTCTTTTGGTTCACGTTCAATGTGTTCACGAAGAATTTCATCATCCGAATCCGATACATTATTTTAACAATGCAATAAAATTTGAACCAGAATAAGAATCAATTACATTTATAATTTTATTTACATCATCTATTGTTTCGTCCCTGTGACTGCGAAGAGGAATATTTTGACGTGAACAAGTAATTATTATTTTTACAATTGATGCTAACATTGCTTTATTACAATTGATTTTCTCAATTCTGTCTTTATCAATTAATGATAAAATTGGATAACGATGAATCTTTATATGTACGTATAAAAATTAGTGGTCGCATCTATTGAATTCTGATGAAATTATGAATTCATATAACTTTTCAATAATGTAGTGAAGTGTTTCAAATATTTGTATCGATGACAAGGTTTATCAACAAATAATTCTAATTTTTGCTCTTGTACGTTACAAAATAGTACACAATTTATGCAATAATCATCTTCAATATACGGTGAATAAACAGGAGAAATGAATTATCGTTTAACCAATTGATTAGGAATTGACGAGAATATTTATGATCATCCGAATATAACATTGGAAATGAATATTTTCTATCGAGTTTAAAATGATTTGTTAATAGAGAATATTTCAAATGATCATCAATTGAAAGTTTATTTGATACATAATAACCTATATCATTTGTATTGGTGTCGGGTCGAGAATTAGTCACTTTCAATTCATTACTTTCAACACTAAAATTAACTTCGTCAATCACCTGATCTAAATCTTCTGGATCACTGGATAAAAACAAATTGAAATCATCATTAGTCGTTGTAGTTGTAATTATAGTAGTTGCAGGTGTATTTAAATTTGATGTTAAATTTTCAGTAGCAGTACATCTTTTTTTGGAAGAAAAACTACAGTTTAATAACGTATTGGGTCGCTTTTGCATTCGACACAGCTTAGTATTAGTATTGTTTTTTGTTTAACTGGAAGGTTATTTCAATCAGTTCAGTATTTTTGTTACTCTTTCACAATAGTTTGAATATTATTAAATTATGATTATTATTAATAATTATATATATTTGTATAACAATTTAATTTACATACATTTCGAAAGCATCAGATTTCTTCTTCAATTTCTTCAATTTAAAACAGAACAAAATAGAGCAACAAAATGGCAAGTGCACAATTGTATATATATGTTAGCGTCCAATGTGGAATTACGTCCAATCTAAGATTGGCCTAGTCCAATTTAGCATCCCAGATTGGACGCGTCCAATCTGGAATTCCACATTGGACGTATATTTAATCAGGCCAATGTCGGATTGAAGAATCAGAATACGTCCAATCTGAGATTCGCCTGTGAATAGTAGGCGAATCTCAGATTGACCTAGGCCAATGTAGAATTGAAAATAGCATACGGCCAATCTCGGATTCGCCTAGGCCAATCTCACATGAGAAATTAAGTATACTATAATAAAAAAAATACGAATCATAGTGAATGAAATTATATTTTGAACAAAAAAAACCAATGTTTAGTTATAACCAAATAGTAGAAAAAGTTATTCATGAGTTTGAAAGAAACTATTAATATATTTTCATATTTTATCATCTGAATCTAAATTTACACAACGAACACCATTTTTGTGGCATTTTGTTGAACAAGATAAGTTTTTTTTTCGACAAGCACATTGCTTTGTCTTACAACCACCTTTACATGAACAAGTAACTCCATCAATACCACCACGAACACATAATTTTGAAGCGGTAATAAACGATATTTCCTTTAATTCACTTGTTTGTAAATTAACTAAATTTTCAGGTACAGCAGATAATAATGCAATGGAATCTAAAGACCACCACTGGTTAATAATGCCAAATTCACATGCAACTTTGATTTTATCATCTTTTTTTTCTAATACAACTGCAGGTAAAATTTTTGGGTCGGTGTTTGTTCGATCAACTTTATTGATCTTAATACCAACATAATCACCAATTAAACATTTGAAAGATAAATCTTTTATAAATTCATCATGAATTTTTATTTTCTTATTGGCATTGGACAAATATATTTTTGTTGCTCGTTTTCGAATCTCTGGATGTCGAGAACTGATTGAGGCTATGTCATAATTAGTTTCTTCATCAAATTGTTATGTTTCAATATTATTATTTAGTGTATCAGCTGCTTGTACTGGTTCAGGTTCTCGTGTTGGTTGAGCTGCTTGTGGTAGTTCAGCTGATTCTGACGTTGCATCAGATATTGGTAGGCGAACTGAATTTTGTATACAATTAGTTGTAACAATAGAAGAAAGAGTTTCTTGTTGATCAGCATTATCAGGACTTGTTGAATTTGAAGAAAATGATCCTGATGTATCCTCCTCAGCAAGACGTTGACGAATAGAAGATGGTAAATCTTCTTCAAGTGTAATATCTACAGATACAAGATAATTTTCATTTATTTTGAAAAGTAAAGAAATATTGTTTACCTTGATTGTCTATTAATTTCCATAATTCATAATCGACTCTAGGTTTTTGTCCAAAAACTATTTCATATGGAGTCATATTTACACCACGAGTCAAGCTTGTATTCATAGAGTATATTGCGGGAAGAAGACAAGTTGTCCAGCATGTTGTATTTCGGTCCTCCATAAATTTACCCAATATTTGACATAAAGTTGAATTTCCTCTCTCGACTAGCCCCTGGCTCTCGGGGTGTCGAGGTCTTCCATTTATTATGACCAATCCAGGCCAAACGTTTTAAAGATTTTTAATGACATTGGCCGTGAACTCACGGCCATTGTCCGATTGTAAAATTTTACAAGGCCCAAATTGATAAAATAATGTTAAAAGATGTTCAGCAACACCTTGAGCTTCCTTTGATACTAATGGATAATCCCACGAATATTTTGAGTAATGATCACGACAATGGAGAATCCATTGAAATTCTTTATCTGGTCGTGTACGAAAATCTATGAGATCAATTTGAAGACGGGTTAAGAAGCCGACTGATACAATAGCTGTTGGTGTAACAGATAGTTTAATAGACTTTCTAACTATGCAAGATATACAACATTGTAAAAATATATCAATAACTTGAGCCGGCATCCAATAATAATGTTCGTTCATCTCGTGACGCATTTTATCACGAGCACCATGACCAGTTTTTTGATGAATATCTTTTAAAATAGCAAAATATGATTCAATAACAACAATTCGACGATCATTCTTCGTTGAACATAAAATTTCAATTCCTGAAGTAATATCAATTTTAAAATTTTTCTTGCACCAAAAATGAAATTTAGCATCAATGCCAATTGCTTTACCACTTTTAGGTTGTTTTAAACAATGAATTATTTTCTGATAATAATCAAATGATATCATTACTTTTTCGGAATACTTTAAACTTTCTTTATACATGTTTAACTTAGAATGAAATATTTTTTCTTCATTCAAAACCTGGTCGCCTTCACCACCATCAATAACTACATCAGTACTGTTTACAATCGTCTCTTGTCCACCAACAATTATATTTGTTAATGTAGTGGTGTTCATTATTATGACTCAGACACCAAGTTTTAATTAATTATAATGTATAAAGTTGAACAAACGAGTATATGAACAATTTACGAATTAATTCCTTTTTTAGGATAAACAATAACTTTAGTCTATTTATTTTTTCCTAGTCCAGTTTTTATTTGATAAATTACATGGACAAAATGATGCCTCCATACTGAATATAGTACACTTAATTTCTCATGTAAGATTGACCTAAACGAATCTGAGATTGGCCTAGGCGAATCCGAGATTGGCCGTATGCTATTTTCAATTCTACATTGGCCTAGGTCAATCTAAGATTCGCCTACTATTCACAGGAGAATCTCAGATTGGACGTATTCTGATTCTTCAATCCGACATTGGTCTGATTAAATATACGTCCAATCTGGGATGCTAAATTGGACTAGCCCAATCTTAGATTGGACGTAATTCCATATTGGACGCTAACATATACATACTTGTTCTTTTTCTTTGTCTTCCATCTTTTCTTATAATATTGGTACGGAAGAATAAACAGGACGGTAAACTGGACAAGATAGGTTATAGTTCATCTTCTTCTATACTAGTATTATAAGAAAAGATGAAAGAAAATGTATATATACAATTGTGCACTTGTCATTTTGTTGTTCTGTTTTGTTCTGTTTTGTTCTTCATAGAAAGAACAAGTGATGAGTGAATGTGTAATTCAGACGGAAGAAAAAACAATACAATTACTATCTATTTCAAAAATAAATAAACAATTCTGAAAAAGTAAAATTTCAGTGGGCAAATCTCTAAATGGAATAGGCAATTGTCCATTTGCTCCTTCTCTTCCTCTTGGTTACGCCGCTAGATACTAAGGAATTGAGTGTTTTCTTTAATTTCATTTTCTTTTTTTTTTTGAAATAATCTGGACAAAACGATTTAGTTTCTTGTACATGACTGGAATATTGAATAACTATCTTTTTCGAATAGTAACTATTTTTCTTCTTTTTTCAATATCTTTTGATATGCATTATAAATATAAGTAGTCCTGAAGAAGTTTTGTGTCAATCATTTATTTTCTCTACTCAAAATATATGTATCGGGCGAAGTTGAGATTTAGGCAAAACCAAATAGTTTTGAAAAGATTTAAAAACAAAAGTAATTGAAAAAGATGAGAATAAAGAACTGATCGTATATATTTATATTAAATTATGTTTAATTTTAATTGAAGTCTAGTCAAATCTAAGAAGTTGTAGAGTTCGCGAGGATATTCAATTGGAATCTAGTTTATCTCAACCCAAGCTCTGACTAAGAAAAACAAGGAAGGATCTTTAAGCTTATGTTTATTTCAATAGTATTCTTTATCCAAAATTGATTTATTTTTGAATTTGAACTGGCTCATAGATGATATTTTAAGTATCAATATATTATGTTGTTAAATTTTATTGAATTCTATTCTAAACAAAAATGATAAAAACTGTAAAAAAAGAATAGGTTTATCATTGAATTTCAAAAGTTTCAAAGTTTTGCACCGAAAAATTTTAGGTTCAGTGGAATGGAAATTCTTTTGTAGTTGTCATATAAAACTTTTAAAAATTCAGCAGATTTAATAGGACGACATCTGACATATCTCTTCACTTTCATCGATATGATATCTGTCGAGACAAGCCATATGTCGTGCTCTTCATACACTCTAGTCAAGTTGTTTATTAGAACTTACGAAGAGATTCGATGATGAGTACAGGCGTACTGCAATCAACAGGTTCTAGTGGACAAACAATAGTAACATTCCATGAATGACAAGCATTAATGCAAAAATTAGCTTTCCAATAGCCCTTGTAATTATCAAGATAAGTCGAGGAACAAGCATTTGAAAAATCCTATGGTATTAAATCTAATTATTTGAAATTTGTTCAAGCTTATTTTCAA